TCGCGAATCAAATGCCTTAACATTTCCATAGCTGTTTCTGCTACTCGTGATTTCACTCGCACAGATGTCTTATTCTGCGAAGTTTAATTAAATCCGCGAAATGGTCGCAAATCAGCTGATCTCGTAAGCGTATCACAAAAGAAGGTATTAAAATTGCTCGTTTAGATAAATAGTAAACGAATCTCAATAGTTGCAAAGGGTTTCTTAACTAACTGGAAAACTAGCAAAAAAAGATTACTAGAAAACTAACTAGAAAATTAACCAGACCAGAGTCGTGAAGCTGACAGACCACTTACATTTAATAGGATCAGGTACGCAATACATGCGGCTAGCGTAATTACGTAAATAGTAATTATATAAACTACTTTACTTAAAATAACATTGCCTTATAATTTTTTCACATTATGTGTATCTGTGTTTATCCGAGGGAGAACGCCACATGTCATACGTTTTCACTTTACAATTATTGTCGCTTAAAGTTTTGATCACTAATTCTTCGTGTTATTAGTGTTTTAAGTTGCAATATTTTTTAAACCTGTCGAACACTTGTTTTCACGCCTTTTCTTCATTCATCAAAACTGATGTTCACTTATAAACTGTGATAATTTAACGATTTAAAAGAATAGAATGTTTGTTTACTTTGAAATATAATTGCTATCAATCTGCCGTTTAGCTGCTCGCTTACAGCAAAAGTATACTGAATACTCGCGTTACACTGGTAACAAAGTTTTCACAAACAGAAAGAGCAAACAATAAGAACTCCTGGTCGAACATAACGTGATTATAATGTTCGAAACTTTTACTCGATCAACCACAAATGATACAGAAAATCCAAAATCGAGTTAACAGTAATTTAAAAAATATGCAATTATAAATTATAAACAACTTCTTCAAAAATTAATATTTACTGAGCTTGTCTTCGGAATAATTCATTAAAAAGCCTATTGATAGGCTTTCAGTAAACAAAGAATTAAATTTCGTGGAACAAAAGGGGATGTTTCTTTCACGAATGCACCCGGTACATAGAAAGATGATATCACGAAAAAATTTTCGACGGTCCGCAAAATAAACGGTGCTGTCTGCAGTGACCATTCTTCGCGATTTCTCGAGCGGTACTCGAGAATTCCTCCGATCGTCCTGCTCGTTTTGTCAGCCCCGATTCGTGTCGCGGCATTTACCTGCGGACTTCTGCGCGCTGTATTTCGTTTTCATTGTTATTGATATTAGCACCGGCCGGCGAAGAACGCTACGGGGCCCATGAGAACCAGTATCGCGCGACTCGGAGCATTATACGTATTTCCATAAATTCGCTTTTTATTTAGACGGGAAACGGGCAGAGCCAATTTGCGGGTCTCGATATATCAATTCCGGCGCGGATTGGAGGCTGTTAATATAAATGATCGCGAGAACTTTTTGGAAATCGCTCCTTCCCTTAATCTTGTATTTAGGAAGAACCGCCACGTTCCACAATGGTCTCGAAACCCGTTTATCGTGGTCAAAATTACATTTCTAAGGTGTTACATTACGAAAGGATTTTTGTATACATTTATTAATAACCCTTCAAGGATTCAAAATCCAAAATATTAGTCATTTTTAATAATTATATCTGGATGGGGGGCGGGTAACGCACTAAAGACAAAGTTTTGGAAATTCAAGGTGATTTCAATTAATCTAAAAACTCATTATGGGTTATGACATTGTTATGTCATACTATTTCATATGTATAATAGTAGGCGTATTCTCTTCAATTAATTGGTTCCTAAGCATTCTGTAATCCATGTACGAATTCAGCAACATTTAAACAGTTTCAACTTTCCGAAGGATTTTAAAAACATGATTAGAAGTGTTAGACATGGGTCTTAATGAAAAATAATAATTAAAGGTATTATCTGATATTATTTGTTATCTGGCAACAAAAGCTCATCAGTATTCATTTGTCTTGAAATTTTAATACATAAAATTTCAGAAAAAAAATTTTTCTTACAAGAGTAATTGAAGTTATTTTTTTAATATTAACATATATTTTTGATTGCATAATATTGTAACTGATGCCGAGTCGAATGCGATGACATACTTATATACTATGACCTTAAACCTTGTAATAACGCTAAAATAATTTTGGAGACAATTAACGGGCCTCCAGCCCACTGTACGTCGCGCGAACATTCCCATTTACGATCCAGAACTTTCCCAAGGTGCGTTTCGAACGGACATATAATTGTCAACTTACGCGAAATGTTTGCGTGTTCAATTCTAATTAAATTCAGATTGTTCAGCATTATTGCAGGTCGCGTCGGAAATTGGAATTTAGATCCATCCCACGTGTATATTTAGTGCAATTCTATATATAGGTGCTTGGTTGTTTGGACACGATTGCAAATATTACATTGTTCCCGATTTTAGTCAGCAAATACGAATTTGTTGGAGACTGCCGACTTTCGCTCAAAATTTATTTATTAGCTACCATCCAGGCAGTTTTAACATTCGAGAGGAAATACCTACATGATAATATCATATGAATAGTACCTATTTCTTTGTTTCTTACATAAAATATGTATATCTATGGATAAATACATTTCATAAAAGTATGTACAGGGTGTTTGGATAATTGTTGTACAACCGGCAAAGAAGCGATTTTTCACATTAAACTAAAAAATATAGAATAAAAATTTTTCATGCAATTTTTCATTTTCAAGAAAATCAAGTCTCAAACACGATTTGCACGGAAATGAAGCTCTGTATGAAAAAATTTTATTCTATATTTTTTCTAAAACTTGTAAACTTCTAGATCATCTAAATAATGAAGTGTCAAATAAAAAGAAGTCGTTTCTTCATGTTTTGAATTTCCTGTATCATCAAAAATCTACCTACGCTCCATTGTGTCTCATGTTTCGCTCAATTTTCTACATGACAGTTAAATAATTCTAACTCCAGTGCAATTTCTGGTGACAGGATCGTTTTGTAAAAAAGAATGTAAAGAAATACAGTAGTTATAGTAATTATGGCTACTGAATTATACGAAGTATTATCATATCGTTATCAACTAGTTCAGTAAAACCCACGAAGAAAATCACTATAATTAAGCAATTAGATCGAACCGCAAAAAATGCTATGAAGCAGTAGATTTTTGTAACTATACCGTCGTCTAAGCTATATTATACATAAGGTGAATGTTCTATCGATCGGCTTGATTGTTAGTATAATTATCAGATCTTTGCAGATCCGCGGTTGCAACATTATACACATAATTACAGAGTATCGAAAACGTTAGAAAAAACGAAGATTGAACTGGTGATAAAAGAGAATTAATTTACAGTACAAATAACATAAAGTGCTCTAGAATAAATAATTTAATGAACAGTAAATTATTTTAAATAACAAACTCTTAATGCGATGTTAGTGTAATGATATTTCCATGATGCTTTCTGAAAAAATGATTCAAATAGATACTTACAAAAATAAGAAAATTCTACTTTTTTTATTTAGCCTTGAAAGACTTGCTGCCGACAAAACCAACACTGTTCAATTAAAAAAGAATTAATACCCGTGTATTTTTGAAGAATAAAAAACGATTTACGTATTCGGTTCGGCAATACGATTTTCCAAACATTTATTCACATTTCTCCCATTTCTAAATTTACTATTGCACAGTCTATTGCTTCCTTGAAGGAACTTTTATTAAAAAATTCGTAGGAGCGATAAGTCTTAACTTTTAGTCATGCAGCTTGCAGCAGTCAAGAGATTAGGGTGACAAAGCTGACGTTAATAAAACAAATTTAATAAACCTTGGACGATTTTAATAAACCACAAACGTGATTTCATGATGTTGTATACGTCAGTATGCATATAAAATATGAAGACTGTACAATGCTCCTGATGATATAGTTTACATTATACTTGCTTAAATTTGATTGCCAGATTTGCTAGAAATTGAACTTACGGAACATAATTTTTTTCACGAGATGCAATGTAAATCTAATTTCCGATTGTTGGCGAAAAGTGAAAAATGTCATTGTGTGCGCATTTAAAGAATACTAAAGAAAATTAGAGATAAATTATCAAACATAAAAAGAATGTAGTATTTATCAACGACTTTAAAGCAATAACAAAAATCATCAAACATTCAAATTCCAAAAATGGAAAGAACCAACACATCCATAACTACTCATTTACGCGTCACTATTCGACTTCAGCGAAAACGAACCACCATTACGATCATTTATAATGTTATTTACCAATACCGGTTCAACATATTTTTTAAAGGACCCTTTCTAAACACGTTAGTTTCTCTATAGACCTTAATCAAACACGTGAAAATTTCAATTAATTTCCAAAACATAGATAATCAAATAACAATTTTTGTGGCAACGTGCCAGTGTTAAAATAAACCCGGACAGATTATCCAATATGATGTACAACGACATTTGAAGAGTGTCAAAATAAATCTTCTTCGTATCTGATTAATAAATATAAAAGATTGTACCACTTTTCAATGACAACCACAGAAGTCGTCACACTTTCAAATTCCATAAATGTGGAAAACAGGATCCGTAACTACTCATTTAGGCATTACACACCACTTCACCGTGGCATAAACGACATAACTATCTCATTTCCGTCCCTCGCCATTAAAGAAAACACACGCAGTTGTAAGTGTTAGAACTATTACTACCTATTATTACTACTATTACTACCTACAACAGAGGTTCGTTTCGATCGACTACTTTCCGTTCAGGGGTGGCAGCGAGAATCATTAAATTTCGCCGGAGAGTCAGTAATTCTGGCTACGGAATGAAAGCTGCTATTAGTATAAAGCAATTCGCGCGTAGAGACGAGTAAAAAGCCACTTGCGAAATAAAAGTGACGCAAGCCTGCCCGGCCTGTTAGACAGGAGGAAGACCATGGATATGTGTATAGCGTGTATAGTGCAGAGTGTATGTGTAGTGTACAGGGACGAGGGAGATAACGAGTGTGCTGGAATCCTTTTGGCGGGTACTCACCTTCTCCTCGAGCTGCGGCCCGTTCTCCATCGCGTGCATAATGGCATCCGAAATGCGGGTGTCCAATTGTCTGACAGCCTTCTCGGCATTCAGGCCCGACGGATCGTTACGACCGTCGACCGCCACAACGAGCCTCTCGACCGTTTCCACGTAGCCGGACCACGCGAGGTCCAGTTCCGACGCCCGCTCCGTCAGGCAGCCTCTGCAATAACGATAATCTTAAAATTATTGCAAACCGTTCCTACTAGCTCCGCCGTTCTTATTTTCACCGCTCAGAGCCACCTTTTCACCTCGACCTTTTTTTCAGCTATTTCTATCGACGCTTACTTATTTAGCTGCGGGCTAACCATGGTTCGATAATCGCCAACGCTACGACGGTGATCATAAGACAGGATCTACCGGATTTGACTGCCCTAACACGTTTTAATAGATCAGTGCGAAGGTTTCGAGGGATGTTTCTACGATTAAATTGGTTGTAGAACATCGATTAACCGAACTCATCGAAGGAATCGTCAATTTTGCGGCAACTTTTTCCAATGAATCTGGAGCAAAGGTAACCCAGATTTTGCTACTATTTATGCAGATATTTTACATGTAATCTTTATGATTTCCACAGATACTGCATTAATAGAACGGTATCACAATACGGTGATTCTGTTTATCCATAGACATGAGAAAATTATTCGGTAATTTCTATTATCGCCATCTTCGTAAAAAGAATTTGAAGTGTTATAATATCCCTCCGTTTTATTTGAACAGATTTTTATAATTCTCGGATTCTAATAAATGAGTATGATTTTATTTTTGACAAATGAAGAGTTCGATTTCAAATTTTATTACAAACCACGTTGATGATTGCAATCACATCATTTCTGTTAGGTGTAGTGTGATACTTCGCGCATAAGCAAGACACAACTCCCTGTCACGACATAACCGACAACAACCAGGCAGGTAAGTGACAGTATCAAGTAAACCAATTACAAATACCTATGACATCTTACATAAACATGTAACGGAGAAGTACTACATTAAAACGCTACAACTTCTTAATTGACTATTACATAAATCATGTCGGATCACGACCAAGCAATTATTAGTTGCCCCGGATAACGGATATGGACACTTACAATTGCTGGTAGTTATGGTAACTGGTAGTTACTATAAATAATCGAAGTTTAGATTTTAGAAAGAAACTAATAAGTGATACAAAGAAAACAATTATGACAATCTCGATAAAAAAAAGCAATATAGACCAAAAATAAATATATCCGCGTATGCCCCACTGCATACCCGATAACGTTTATTTGAAATATTTTTCTATAGAAGTAAAGGTTTCGAGTAATTTAAGTGGCAGATTTTGGAAGACCACCCTGTATGTATTCAAATAAAATATTTTATCTTGATAATTAACAGTGTAAAACGATATTTGTAAGTCAGTCTACCGATTTTCGTTAAACGAAAACACTTCGTGATCGAACGAATATACGGTTATAATTAAAAGGCAGCCAGCTAATATTAATTACCCCAAAGTGGCCAACCAAGAGAGGCAAGTTATTATGACATGCAAGTTAGTAATAACTTTAATTACTTTAGTCATTAAGTAAACTTGTAAACATATGCACTCGGCGAAAATTGCAAAGATAACGCGATGAGTAGATCGCCGAGTTTATCATAGATCAAAAAAGATTCCGCAGCAGTGAGAACGAATTTCGCACTTTTTCAACAAAGTTTCCTCATTCGAAAGTCGGATAACCGAAATATTAACTATAGAGGTAGGCTGTTTAAAGTTACCTCCAAGTTCATTAATCTGCCACTTTGATGCTGAACGTAAAACTAATTTATACTTTTGATCATTGACGGAGAAGCATAAATTACTTTTTCCGAACTGATGTACCTACGCCTCTCGTCGAAGTAAACTTGCACGGATTTTAGTGCCTTATGAAGGTATTAATCCCTTCTGTGTATATAAAATTAATTATTATAATAGAAATACATGAACAAATATAAATTACATAGTATACGCATGTAAAAAAAAGATGTGTAATATATGGAAACACATTTAACCTTTTGATATAACTTTCGGGATTAATTTTTGGGTGGTGGGCCGGAATTCGTAGTACAATTGAGCAGGGGATGATTTTACGTGAGAAACATAAGAAAAAAATTTGGTATAATATTTTTTTATTCGGGGCTCCGTTTTCGAGAAAATCGACTTTAAAGTTTGCTCATCTTTGTAATGGATTTAGTTGTCGTCTATTCTTCTACCGCAGTTGCCTCCGTCCGAGATAGTGTTTACAAACATCGAAGTTAAGAATTATGTAAGTACTTAGTAAACGAAACATGTCCATCATTGTTGACGTTTGTAAACACTGGCTTCATCCGAAATTCGAAATCCGGAAAACCGATCGATCGAAACATTAGATACAAAAGCGCGCTCGTGGATATTTACAATTTGCATCACACGAATCTTGAATAGTTTATTTGTCTCCGGTTTCCTCCGGACAAGAATTCGTTTGCCCCTTTGCTAAATGCCGCGGAACATTAAATTTACGCGATTACACGCATGCATAAATAATCGTAGCATTTTGCAAAAATCGATCGTTACAATTACGCCGCGCAAGTATTTCCAGATTTACATTTAATTGCATGCTTATATAAATATTAATACAGATGAGTACTTTGTGAAGTAGCATTTTAAGTTCGGCGTAACGAACCACTGGCTTTCGTTGTATTTAAATCAGTAATCGAATCATTTCTGTCGATCGATAAGTGTGTGATAAAAATTTGATCAAAATCGATTAAACCATAATCGAGCTAAAGACGTTGAAAGATTTCAAAAACTGCAGATTTCTTCCAGTTTTTGGTCATAATCGTGATAACACTGCGTTCTTTGTCATCTTTAATTTGTTGTAACTCATAACAACGTCAACCGATTTTGATAAAATTTTTAGCATGCATATAAGCTACCAAGATCTATGAGTGGCACTTTTTATATTTACGTTATATAGATTATACAGATAGAAAAGTATATTATATATTATATATTTATATATATAAAGAAAATTAAAATTCTCGTTTTTTAACTTTTTTATCTGTATAATAATATATATTTAATTTTCTTTTGTCATTCCAAGTAATAGCAAAATTTAAAAAAAGCATTTCGGTCATCGTTCAGTGAACTAGTCCAACTATCATTTAAAAAAAATATTCAAGTGACTTAGTCCAGTTTTAAAAAAGTTATTGCGTTTTAAAAGGAATACGCTTAATTTTGTGAGTAACTGTATATTCAATATTAAATTGATCTAATTATTTAAGACCTTCAGGTAATTACAAACATAAGCGGCAGATCAAGATTGTTAATGTTCAACCATTGTTAACGAAATTCCATATAATTTCTATGCGAATGTGGAAATTGAAAGATTTAAGCATAGCCAGGAGGCTGGACTGACCAGACGACTCGAGGTATTTCTGTAAATACAAGTATGGAGGGAACGGGTCATCAAAGACTATAAAAGAAAGTGAAAGTAACCGAAGTTAACATGGAATATAGAGCGGATCGTTAAGGGCGGAAGAAATAAATGCCGCCAGAGGAGTTATGCGAGCTCCTTTATTTTCTGAACCAAGGGCATGACGAAGTATCGGACAGTACTGTTATTAAATGATGTCCCCGAAGAATTTTTGACACAAATCGATAAATTCGCTTTCCTTTATTCGAACAACTCCGCAAAAAATGAAATCAAACGTGATATATTATTAATATCACCTCGTATTCAGATTTCGGTTAAACATTTCCCTTCATTTGTTCGAAGTAGCAAATAAATACTTCGATTTGTTTCCTATCGAAAAATGATTTCGTTCAAAAAATTTCGATCAAAAGTTTCGTTTCATTATTTATATATTTATATCCAAGCGAAATGTATTTCCAAACATTTCGTAGGGATCAATGTCAATGACAAAAATAGTCGAAATATCGAATCGTGCTTAATATTTAAGTAATGTCTAATACATCCTCAAATATTGCAATATTTAAATTTTCTTAAAATCCTCCATTTGTAAGAGAAAATATAGTTCAAGCTTCTTTAGATCGACAACGGAGAGTCATCTTCGCTTTAATAAAAGTATTATTTCGGGCAAAAGAGTTGTAGAACATTGAAATTACTTTCGTAAAATTTCCAATTTGTGGAAAAAAAATAGTTTGCCCCTAATCACATTTTCCAGATTGACGTAGGAAAATCACGTTCACATTAATAAAATGTATTATTTCAGAAAAAATTCTAGTAGTACATTTATAAATTATTTTTTTCAATTTACCACTATTTAAGTTCTATATATCTTTAAATTTTCCAACATATAAATTATTTCTTTTAAATATTCCCGATGAAATACTTTACCGTTATTTACGCGCGCGCGCTTCTTAGATCAATATCGAGGAATGGCCTTCCCTTTGATGCGAGTATTATTTCAGAGAAAGGTGCCCGAAGTAAATGGTTATATACACAGACAGGTTACTTAGTCCCGAGACTTGGTTCTTCTAGGGTTAATAAAAAAGAAGAAAAAAATACCGCTAGGATAGTTTAGTAGTACGTTGCTGCGAGGTGGTGGAAGTGGAAAGGGTGGCCGGATCGAATATATGAGTGTCTAGGGACCGCGAATACCATCATGCCGACCCTGTTAACCCGTAAAGAGCAACGTAACCGCACGGTATTCAACCAGAGACGAAACTTCTTCCGCCGAAAGTCGAAATCATTGATGCGCGCGATCTGAAATTGGGTGACCTTGAAACACTACTTCGATCTGGCGCCTATACAGATAAAGTAATAAAAATATGTGACCGAAATAATGGAAGGTTCGTCTCATTTTTGTGATATAACAGAATGTTCTACGTAACATCTTTGTTTTCTGTTATTAATGGGTTTAAATAATATAATTTACAAATATAAAAATATCACACAAAAATTTGAAAATTTTCTGCGAAATAAACATAGGTTCGCTCAATACCTTTTAAATACAAATACAAAAATATTAAGTGAACCTATATTTTTTTCGCACAAGTTCCCAAACTATTATTATTCATAATTATAATTATAAACCCTGTGACTGCAAAAGGTGTCGTGGTTTATTCGCAAAAGATCTCAAAAGAAGCTACAAAAATGCCGCTCATACTAGAATACTCCCATAAATGGCATCTCCGTGAGGTCTGCAACGCATTTGAATAGAACTTGGATAAAATATCAGGGTACCTATAGAAACCATTTAAAACTTTGGAAGTCAAAACGTAAGTCAAAAAGTATTCTACGACGCTGTAGAGAAAGTTGATTAAGACGCTACCATAATACGCAATGCTCAACGCTGGAAATCGATTCTCGAAGCACTCTGTTATACCTGGCCGAGGCGTGTAAGGCGCGAGTGAGATAATGGAATGGATGATACTCACCTCATGACGTTGGTGCAGAATCCGTTGCAGGGCATGACGGTGGGTCCAAAGCCCTTACACCTCAAACAATAAGTCATTCTGAGCAGCGCGTCATAGCAGGCTTCCAGCTGCGGAGTGGTACCGGAAAACAGAACGCCGTCGATCCTTTCGAGGATGGTTTTGCCAAGAGTCAACGCCTGCACCAGCACCCTTGTCGCCTCCAGGCTCTTGCTGACTGAGTTCGCGACCTGCTTCGGTATGTCGCCGAACGGCTGGATCTCGTCCATTGTCTCGTACAGGCAGGTCTTGAACTTCTCCGTGAAGTCCTGCTCGTACTCGCGCGGGTTCACCGCGTTGTGGTACGCGATCGGGAACAGCCTCGTGAAGAACTCGACGAACCGTTCCTGAAGCATCTCCCTCGTGAGCGGCTGTTCCAAGGTGTCCGGCGTGTTCTGCGGCGATACGTAATCGACCATCGCCTGGTACAGCGCTTTTATCGACGGCCTGCTCAAAACCGCCATCGAGCGGTACACTTGATTGAAGAGGGTCAGGGTTTTGTTCTCCGATTGTCTCGCGAGCATCGTCACGGTCTCTGCAAGCAAAAACAACGGCATTGATAGCGGCTGCATTCCGACACGGCAGTAACAACGCGGAAAAATCGGAGCGGACGGGTACGTACACACATGACGCGGGAAACGATCGATTAAATTCATCAATATACCGATCAACCGTGTCCGGTTCCTTCTTAGATCGCGGAAAATCATGCCATCAGTGAGTCGGCAATTGAGATGGATAGTTCGTGTTCTTTGGATTTAAGTTCAACGTCTCTACTTTCAGGTTTACAGGGGCGAAGCACACCCCGATTCGTTATTTCCAGTAATTATTATTAGCGGGCTTGCGGACTTTGTGAATTTATCACAAAAATTCATGCAGGCGAATCTCAGATATCCGGACTAACAAGGAGAACTTCCAATCGTAGAAATCGCTTTTGAAACGATAGTGGGTTACAGTTAGAGAATACGTACATAATATTAAACAGTCCTAATAGGATTTTTAATCAGATTTTATCTTACAAGGATATTTAATGAAATGAACAATTTAAGAACTGAAGAATCGCAGTGTTTATGTTTTGGAGATGTAATTCTTTATACAGAATGTTCCATTTTAATCACTGCATGCAATTATGTGGAGAACTATTCGTTATTTCAAAAGATATTTCATATGAAACTTTTCTATTTCTAGGAGGATCATACATTCCAGTATGATCCTTCACAGAATTTGCAGGATTTGAATAAATTCTGGAGTGTGCAGCAATAGCTATAGAAACATTAAACGCAGTTATGCAAACAATAAAAATAACGTCATCAGAAATGTTTACGATGTAATGGAGATGCGTTTAGGCATCTCCTTCAGTGAAGACATTTTTTGAAAATATTTCGACAACTAATAATTTTTTTGCAATATCCTAATAATATTCTACGCAGAATGCACAGAAAGGGACCGATGTGTGCAATAAAAGATATGCGGTTCCATTTAAAGAAACGATGCAATATTTTCAAAAAAATGTCTTTACCGAAAAAGATGCTCAAACTTTTCTCCATTAATTGCACATGCACTGATGCACTTAACAAAAAATCCAATATTGCCTACAGTTGTAGTGCTCTTCGAGTCATTTTTTCGTAAATGCGTTAAGAACGGAGTTGTGGCTTGAAACAATTGCGTGGATCACCTTGTATACCAAAAATATTGATAATCCTAAAAGAAATCTCTTTTAAAACCGTGTATATATATATACTTTTTAAAATAATCATATTCCATTTCCTACAGAAGCTACCTGTTGTTATGGGAGTAAAACTTTCGCAACGAAGTTGTATAGTTGGCGAACACTTCTATTGGCAAAAGTGACCATTTGAATCGACACATTCTGCTGTCTGCATATTTTTACTACGTGACGCGGAGAAACGTCTGCTTCTACTTTGTAAAAGTTTAAATTTCAGTGCCTGAGTACACGTTTATTATGTGGTCGGCATACACATCTGCAGACAAAAGCGGTCATTTAAATTTACGTATTCTCGTGGCTGCACACTTCTTCCAAATTACGTGTGGAAATGTATGCTCGTACTTGTAAAAATTTCAGTTTCATTGTTTACGAATATGTTTACCTACTGAATTAGCATGTGAATACGTTGGCTGTTAAGTCTATACATTCACCAAATTATCGCATCTCTAGTGATCTGCATACGTATTCCATACATTTGATGCAAGAATAATGAATACATATAATGCAAAAAGTAACAGATAATTTAAATCGCCGAATGTACGCTTAATAAATTCCAAAAATCAACTTTCGTGATTATATTTGTTTTTCTGAAGGCTAATTTTTTTTGTCAACGTAATATGATCTCTTCGTGGTAGATAAGGCTCGCGTTAAAATTCCTTGTGTAGATAAAAGTGGGCGTGACAACCGTCCAATGATACGATATTCCTGTTACTCGTTTCATTGGCACGGTTAATTTGAAGAAGCATCCAGTGTACCACGACGCTTCTGCTGAAAGACGCGTGAAATTCGCGGAAAAATTTCACAACTCTATTTATACAAACGAAAATGATAAACCCCCTGAAGAAGGAATGAAAGGAATGAAGGAATGAAAAAAATACAGAGAGAGGAACTTAACCAGTCAGCCGTTGTAATCTCTTCGAAAAGCGTGTAAGATACCATGATTATACTGTATACTGTAATTACACTGTTCGATCTTTTCCATGTCTTGTTGAAAAACAACACTTTTATAAAATATGTAATTTAATAAGGACTATATACTTCTTAACCAGTTAGCTGTTTTGACGAGTATACTCGTCATAAAGGAATGACAACATTTTGTGGGCCTTTGTATCTTTGATCCATTTTGGATCTTTGTACATTGTGCTATTGTACTATTAATGATATATTGCTATTGTACTATTTGTGATAAGTAGAAATCAAATAGTATATTTCTTTCCTTAATAATTTTAGTAGATTGAAAGTAATATATTGAAATCCTTAAAACTTTTAATTTACCTACTATCAGCAAATAAAATTCGCAATCCTGTTATTGTATTTTTAAGCAGCAGTAGTTTAGTGTCCCCAATTGTAACCAGCGTGTTGTACTGTAGTCGCGTACGTTAACAACTTGAATAATTCCACGCTTCCAGGCTAAAATACGCAAGGCCACGGTCTCTGCACAACAAACTCGCAAGAAGAGGAAATTTCATAGTTATCGCAAGTACATCGTAGGATACATCGATCGTAAAAGTATCGCCGTAACAGTAACAAGTTCCTCGAAGTAGTTGGAAATTACAAGGGTGAGAAGAGTTTATAGTTAGCGTAACAACGGGTACATCGTAAACGCGGGGCAGTAACGTTAACGAGAGCATTCACTAAACTAATCCAATTTTATTGATATCAAATATGTGTAGGGCCACAAGCGTCAATTGCTTAATACGATGCTTACATTCGAATTTCATTCAATATAACATAACGACCCGGTACGTCGATGAATAGAACAAGTCAGTAAAGTCGCGGTGAATTGAAATTAACACCAGTATTTTTTTAATATAAATTCACATCAATTTCTCGTTCACTCGATTATTCGCACATCTTCTCGGTCGTTCGAGCATTTATGCGGATGTTTTTACAGTTCAACGTCTTCTTACAGATTGTCCACTGTATAACAAAATCGGCAAAAACGTAAAAATTCCCAATACCGTCAAAGAATGCTTGGGCAACTACAAACACACAACAAAAGTCATGTCCTATTTAGTGAAATTATACATACATATGAGCCGTTTATTTTGAAAGTGACATAAGTCACTTTTTTTTTTAATGAAAAGATACCGTTCAATTGTATTATAATTAGTGTTACCATTAACTCGATTTTTTTGAAAAAGTGACTTNCCACTGTATAACAAAATCGGCAAAAACGTAAAAATTCCCAATACCGTCAAAGAATGCTTGGGCAACTACAAACACACAACAAAAGTCATGTCCTATTTAGTGAAATTATACATACATATGAGCCGTTTATTTTGAAAGTGACATAAGTCACTTTTTTTTTTAATGAAAAGATACCGTTCAATTGTATTATAATTAGTGTTACCATTAACTCGATTTTTTTGAAAAAGTGACTTGTACCACTTTCAAAATAAACGGCTCATATAGTAACTTAAGGAACTTAAGGAAGATTAAGATGATAATGTCGTAGCCAGAGTGTTCAATGTATACGTATAATCTAATGATGTTGGCTCATTAAGTATGAAATGCATAGATTTTATATTAAAATTATAGAGGGTAAAGTATACATTTCATACTTAATAACCTAATAGGAATCTGTTTACATCCACATGTAACACTACAGATTGTAATCCCACAAGTGGTCGTTAATTAGCATTAAGCAGATGCGGCAGTAAATAACTAAATAAAAAGAAAAATGTTGTTAATAAATTTTTGGAAAAGGAAAATAGGTAGCAAACAGTAAATATAGTCTGATTAGCTTGAGCAGAGAAAAATAGGGAAAGTAAACGTAGTAGAGTCAATTCTCTCTAATGGACTTTCAGTATGTACACAAAAATGTACAATTTGGAAGAGAAAGAGAAGATACGATTATTCGAACCTTGAGACTCGTTTTTATAGTTACCGATTGTCAACAACTATAAAATCGAGCCAAATCCTCTTCCCAAATTTTTTGTACAATCATCGAGATTGAGAACCACAATTTCGTATTTTAACTATTTTGTTAATATTATTTTAATATTAAAGAAACTGTGGAAAAGATAGAAATAGGATTCAAGATGTTGTACCGATAATTAGAAAAGTGGATACAGCGAAACACCTGACAAAATTTAAATGATCACTTGTTGTATGTATCGCATCCATTGAAACGTACAAAACTGATCGGATCTATAACTAATTTTTGAAGTCGATAGAAAGTTTATAAATCGGTAAAACTGGGAATGACAATCAATTGACAGACAGTCGTCCGCGAGTTCTCACGATTAGAGTTAGGGTGAAGTAGGTTCGAAATTGATTGGATAGTTCCGAANAACATAACGACCCGGTACGTCGATGAATAGAACAAGTCAGTAAAGTCGCGGTGAATTGAAATTAACACCAGTATTTTTTTAATATAAATTCACATCAATTTCTCGTTCACTCGATTATTCGCACATCTTCTCGGTCGTTCGAGCATTTATGCGGATGTTTTTACAGTTCAACGTCTTCTTACAGATTGTCCACTGTATAACAAAATCGGCAAAAACGTAAAAATTCCCAATACCGTCAAAGAATGCTTGGGCAACTACAAACACACAACAAAAGTCATGTCCTATTTAGTGAAATTATACATACATATGAGCCGTTTATTTTGAAAGTGACATAAGTCACTTTTTTTTTTAATGAAAAGATACCGTTCAATTGTATTATAATTAGTGTTACCATTAACTCGATTTTTTTGAAAAAGTGACTTGTACCACTTTCAAAATAAACGGCTCATATAGTAACTTAAGGAACTTAAGGAAGATTAAGATGATAATGTCGTAGCCAGAGTGTTCAATGTATACGTATAATCTAATGATGTTGGCTCATTAAGTATGAAATGCATAGATTTTATATTAAAATTATAGAGGGTAAAGTATACATTTCATACTTAATAACCTAATAGGAATCTGTTTACATCCACATGTAACACTACAGATTGTAATCCCACAAGTGGTCGTTAATTAGCATTAAGCAGATGCGGCAGTAAATAACTAAATAAAAAGAAAAATGTTGTTAATAAATTTTTGGAAAAGGAAAATAGGTAGCAAACAGTAAATATAGTCTGATTAGCTTGAGCAGAGAAAAATAGGGAAAGTAAACGTAGTAGAGTCAATTCTCTCTAATGGACTTTCAGTATGTACACAAAAATGTACAATTTGGAAGAGAAAGAGAAGATACGATTATTCGAACCTTGAGACTCGTTTTTATAGTTACCGATTGTCAACAACTATAAAATCGAGCCAAATCCTCTTCCCAAATTTTTTGTACAATCATCGAGATTGAGAACCACAATTTCGTATTTTAACTATTTTGTTAATATTATTTTAATATTAAAGAAACTGTGGAAAAGATAGAAATAGGATTCAAGATGTTGTACCGATAATTAGAAAAGTGGATACAGCGAAACACCTGACAAAATTTAAATGATCACTTGTTGTATGTATCGCATCCATTGAAACGTACAAAACTGATCGGATCTATAACTAATTTTTGAAGTCGATAGAAAGTTTATAAATCGGTAAAACTGGGAATGACAATCAATTGACAGACAGTCGTCCGCGAGTTCTCACGATTAGAGTTAGGGTGAAGTAGGTTCGAAATTGATTGGATAGTTCCGAACACTTCATCGGCAGTTCGAAGAGCGATACTTTCAAGTGGATCCAAATGTAACGATGAGAGATATTTTCAAGTTGATCTTGATCAAATGGATTCGAACTTTTCGTAAGTATTATACTTCAATCGTAAGAAAAGAATGAACTTGGCTAAAACAGTAAACCTAGTTTCTAGAATATGAGCTATAGCCACGCACGCGACAGGTAACACGTAAGTATAACGTAGATTGCTTAAAAATACAATTTCGAAAATTGTAACCATTCACGGTCTAGGATTTGAACCTAACCCAGATCTCAGTGTCAATTATCAAAACTCTCAATTTATGTCACAGAATAGATTTCAAAATTAATCTTAATTTACAGACAAAACGTACCTGACTAAAATTTATTGAATAAATAAGAACTTTCGCAAATACACAACCTTTCTGCTTGTATCACATTTAAATTCCGTCTATCAATGTTCGATGTAACATGGCGGCGTACCAAAAAAACCATTAATGATTCATGGCAGGCGTACCGAAGTATTTTTGAGTGCATACTTTGCAGAGCACGCATAGAATAAAAAAAGAGCTGCCAGTGAAAAAGTATCGCTTTTATTTATGTACCGCTCGCTCCATCTTGCCAATAGCTTAATTTGATGTATAGCATATTTACGTTAAATTATTCTCTAACAGCTTTGAACGACGATATGCGTTCGAAAAAAAGTAAAAATGTGAACGACGCATATACGTACATACAAAAATAAAAAGTGCACATATTAGGCCGCAGTAGGATTATCCGAACACTTTTCACATACAGATAGCTCGATTTAAAATGCGCTATACGACATTATTTACTGTCCAAATTAAGAAATATTTAATCCAATCTAGAGATTAAGTAACTATTCTATCTTGACGTATACATGTATAGCACACAGTACTAATTGCATACATGCGTAACGTATAACTCTAACTGTACACATGCATGTAATAAATAAGTGTATCCACGTAGTTGTTCCACCGTAGAGAGAAACTCGTTTCTTATAAAATTGGATTCAGCTCCACAATCGAGAACCTACAGTGCATTCAACGGAACATTTTCTTCGAGTGAGTAGAACCTCGGTTATCCGAACTAAGCAGATAATAGAACCGTTACTTCGTTACAATGCCAGGGCAACAGTAAGACTTTATACAGCAAACCGTTTGGCACGTGAAATGCCTAAGATCGTGTTGCTCGCGTGTGAAACATATTTGTTTCGTACGGAATCAATCATTGGAAGCTCGGATAATCGAGGTATGTACTCCTGTAGCGTGAAAAAATCGTAAAACAGAATGGCGGGCATTGAAATCGCCTGGAGTCGCGAATTCATATTGAACTTGATCCCGTCTCTGAACGGTCGGTGTGTACGGCGAGCTAGAAAAATACGATCGAATTTCAAACAAGTAACTCGGACCAGATCGATGACTAAAAAATTGTTGAAGCGTACGCTCGTCTGGAATTGAACTGGTTTCCCGATACGTACTCGCGGCGAAACCCGCGGATGCACGCGTAGGATGGCGACAAAGTTGGCGATGCGAATGGCAATGGTGATGCTGGCGGCCAGCAGCCGGCATAACCGTGAAAATACTATCCAAACATCAAACAACCAAAACGTTCAAAAGCTGCACAGAGGTCTGGCTATGAATCGAGACTGGGAGCCAGGCTCGGCTCGGATCGGCTCGGTTCAATGTCAGTGGTTGGATCTCCGAGCGGAAACAAATATCGCCGTATTACGCCGCGGCCATCGAAGACTAATGAACTTGGCCTGTGCGGCGGAAGCCTTGATAGGCCATCTCGCAGCCTTCGGACGATGACTTAGAACAAATTGCCGATGCACACGTAGGGACCAAGCACGAGTATAACATTCCCATCTTCTTCTTTCTCCTGTTCGTCCTCCGCGAACGAGACCCCGGCTCGCGATACCATGCGAAAGAGGAAATCGATGGCAAAAGAAGAATAATAGAACGGCGGAGGGCGGAGGAGGCACGTAAAAGAAAAATCGAAAGCGGCAGGTAAAGGACGAGAGGGAATGCGAGAGAAATGAACGGAGCACATGTATGAACGAAGGCATGAGGAGGATGGTCCGGGGAGAAGCAACGTGGCTGATCCGACTCGATCTGTCGGCCCTCCGAGTCCTCCACTCTATCCTTCTCTAGATCTTCTCAAAGGCTTCTTTTACCTATGTACGATTTCAGCGGTCCTCCTTCCTCCTCGCTCTCGCGTTTCTCATCCGAAGGCACTTGGGGCTATTCCACAGCACAGCGGAGGGAGAGAGCTTCGGCATTCCTCTCGCCGGTCATTTTATTTTAGCGCCACCGTGTGGGAGAGAGTCTTTTTATCTCTCTCTCTCCCC